AAATCACATCACTAAATTACTAAATTCTGTGATTTTGTAGTTGCTACACTTCCTTGAATGGTAAAGAGAATGTGTGTATTTTTTCTGGAATTAACTGTAGGAGGTGTCTTTATTATCATGCTGGTTACCAAGGTAGAGCTCATAAAAGGCCCCATCCTTGTTCATAAGGGCACAACAAAGTCTTCCTACAAGGACTCAACTACTAAATGCATAGAGCTGCCTCCCTGAAACCAATAAAAAATAATTCAAAATACTATCCCATTCTACCTCCTTTAAGCCCTTACAGAGGGATTAAAATAAAGTTTGGGGAGATGTCAGGGAAGAGTCACAGCTCATTTGGGAACCAATTCAATAGCTATCATATTTGAAAAGCCAAACCCCATGTCACAGACCACAGGATGCTAGTGCAGGGAGATAGAGCCAGCCATTTAGGTAAACCTTTCTTTCCTAGATGGAGCCTAGAGCTCTTTCCAGGATGCCATTATACCTTGAAAGTCCCAAGTACTGAATGTGGTAATGGTCAGAGTCGGCCTACTGCTCAGAGTGCTGATCTCTGGCCCCACTTGAAGTTTACCAGGAAATACAAGCAATGAGAGATGCTCCCACCACCACAGTCATCAATGTGGAGGTGTAGGAGGAAGACTGAAACTGAGGGACAGGATTCCTGCTAACTGCCTTGTGCTACCAATTATGATAATCTCAAAACAGTATGACAGTATGACCCCAGTTCCTAAAGGGAGGAACCAAAGGTAGACAACTTGCACTTCTAGACTGTTCATTGTGGGTCAAAAGGCAGGATAAACTTCTTAACACTGTTCTCATGACTCCTTTCTTGAAAATCACATGCTTGCAACCTAAGAGGGCCAAATGCAGGCACACTCAATTCCAACTAGAGCTATGGGGCAAGGAGAAGCACAGGAAAGAGAGCCAGGCAGAGCCTGCCAGCAGGCAGAGCATAAGGAAGAGGCAGAGCAACTGGGATGAGCAGGGAGGTCAGTGGGGTGATGTCAACCCTGGGCTGCTTTGGGAAGACATTCAGAAGAGGGTTGAAAAGTGGGGATGCTTAGATTATCTTCCAGAAAGAGAGAGTAGCACAATGGATGCAGCTGGAGCAAGCCGAAGTGGCAGGTAATGGTGACTGTAAGTGAAAGAACAAGGCGAGACCAGTCTGTGCAGCTCAGCAGGTGTATTGAGGCTGAACTTTATTTCAGGCATGGAAGGAACCCACCCCTGGTTCCCTGCCATAAGCACAGCCCTTCTCCACCTCAAACTTTAGCTCCCAGCTCCAGTTAAAGTGTCAACCACAGCCCTTCCCTGTACCAAGCCCTCCTTGCTTGTCAACAATTGCTTCAGACAAAGCAGTCCTGATGTGGGGTTCCAAGATATTTACCACTTAGTGTGAGGGAGAGGAACAGTTTCCTTCTTAGGAAAGCTCAGCTGTGCCAGGAAAGGGATGGGCAGCCTTAGGGGGACACCTGCAGCCTCTGGAATTCAGGGTCTTCCTGTTTTCATTGTTCCCTGTGAGCTGCCACTGTGGCTCACAAGGTTGACTGGCTGCTGAGGACAAAGAGTGCCTGCCTTCCAAACCCACTCCCAGTGATGCGTGGCCATGCTCCCAAGTTCTCAGCCGGAAACTGTCACCACTCAGGACTGCACCCTCACAGGGGAGGTCAGAGGTTCCTCGTGTTGTATACACAGCCTTCTCTCTCCCCACAAGGTCCCCAACCACCCAGGAGCTGGGACATGCACACAGCAGGGAGCAGCTCATCCCCCAGGAGCCCTCACCACTCACAGACGGCATTGGCTTGTGAGGGTTGAGCAGCCCAAGAGAACAGAAGGAGAAGGCCCAGTGGCGCAGATCCACGGAAACCGAGGCGTGGTCCCATTGAAGTGGCCACCTGAGGTCACAATGTTTTGCTAAAGCCAGGGACTGGGAAGCTTGTGTCATCATCTTTCCATGATCATGGAGCAAGCACGGAGAGGTGAAGCCAGACACCTGGTTGTGGTTGCTGGCTTGACCATATCTTAGCAATTATTCAGAACTCTTGGAAATTCAGGCCGCTTGTACTGTCTGATGAAAATAATAGCACCTGCTTCACAGAGCTTTCGGGGGAGAGAACTGGGCCCCTCAACCTTGGGGTTGGGAACAGATCATTCTCTGCTGTAGGGACTGTGCCAGGCATTGTAAGATGTTGAGCAGCATCCCAGACACCAGTCATGATCCCCCTCCACCCAGTTGTGATCACTCCAAAACGTCTCAGCACTGCCAAATGTCCCCTGTGGGAGGAGACACACTTACCCCAGCTGAGACTCACTGAATTAGAGGGCCCGAGATTTTTAAAGGCAGCTGAAACAACTGTGGCCTCATTTAAAGTAGAGGATTCAGCACCTGGCTGCATCATAACTGCTCTCTTTGTTCTGTGGTTTCTCCTCCTCTTCTGCCACAGGGCTGATCAGATTCATTTTTTGTGGGCTTCAAGCCCAAAGATCTTAATGTTTAAATGTAGAGTTTTGTTTTGTTTGTGTTTGTACAGTCTTGGTATGTTTGCATTCATAACCTCACACAAAAGCCAGGGTTTTTGTAAATAATTTGGTGTATGTGCATGGGAAAGCAAAAGCACCTTTTAGGGTTCTAACTTTGCTTCCAGGAAGCTTCAGTTTTTAAATTACACTAATGCAAGGTAATTCTATTCATCAAACTTTTGGATGTATTGCCAAAAGATCCAAAGCAATTTGAGCATAGGAAAGTTTAAGCTAAGAAAATAAATTAAAAAAAGGTGGCAGCTGCCCGGCTTGTTAGTACATGACTATAATCCCAGCTCCTCAAGAGGGGGAGATCAGGAGGATTGAAGTACAAGGCCATCCCTGGCAAGACCCCATCACAACCAACAAGCTGAGCATGGTGATACATACTGTAATCTTCACTACATGGAAGGTATAAGTAGTAGGATATATTCTGATACTGGCCCTGGGCAAAAAGCAAGAGACACTATCTGAAAAAATAACTAATGTGTAAAGGGCTGGGGACATGGCTCAAGTGTACAGAGTTCAAACCCCAGTACCACAGGAAAAAAAAAAAAAGCAAAAAACAAAGCCAGCTTGCAAACAGTTCAACAAAGGAACCTTAAACATACTGCATATCTACTATGTGAAAGAAATATTCAGTCCCTTCTCTCAGGAAGCAATTTTTTCTTTTTTTAAGTACTAGGGCTTGAACTCAGGGCTTGCACCTTGAGCCACTCCACCACCCCTTTTCTGTGATGGGTTTTTTCAAGATAGAGTCTCACAAGCAACCTATTTGCCTAGGTGGCTTTAGACTGCGATCCTCCTGATCTCTGGATCCTGAGTAGCTGGGATTACAGTGTGAGCCACCGGCACCCGGTTAGAAGACAATGATTTGCACAAAGACCAGTCTCTACTAAGCTGTGCTTGTGAGGTGTCACACAGCCCTGTGGGGTGATAAGGACACTGTTCTAGACTGAATGTTTGTGTCCCTCCTAAAAGTCACATGTCGAAATCCCAAGCCCCAGTGTGATAGCATTAGAAGATAAAGGATTGGGGAGGTGATCTGGTCATCGGAATGGAGCTGTTATGAGTGAGAGCAAAGCCCTTGTGAAAACTCTCTCCTCTCCACCTCATGAGGACATCTGCGAACTAGGAACCAGCCCTCAACAGGTACCGGACCTGCCAGTCCCTCGATCTAGGCTCCCAGCCTCCAGAACTGGGACAAATGAATTTCTGTAGTTTAAGATCCTCAGTCTGAATGGATGAAGATCTATTTCAAATGAATCACTGCTCTGGCCCCAAAATTGTCCAAAGTTTCTGAAACAACTCCTTTCTTGTTTACTTTTTTAGTGGACACATAATTGTATATATTTCAGGAAATACAGTGATATTTCAATGTACTTACACAAAAATCATGAGAGTATTTTTAATCAAAGATTGTTTGAACTTCAGCATAAATGAATTGACAAGACTTTGCTGTGAGAACCTAGGGGAGATGCTGGTGAAAGTTCATAAGACCTGATAGAAGATGACCAAGAGGTCCCTGGCTTTGCAGAATAGACAACAGCATGGTGGCCTTGCGCTTGGCACTGGCCCGCTCTGTCCCTCCCCCACTCCTGTACTGCACAGTTGATGTGAGAAGGCTGTCGGGAGAGCCGAGATGCAGCATTTGGAGCACACAGTACAGTCCCTGGCATCACAGAGCGTGGAGCACTACCTGTAAGTCTCGATGGTGCTATCCACAAGAGAGCCTTAGGGTCAAAGGTCTGGAAAGATCACTTTAAGCAAAGCTAGACAGGTTTTCACTCACCCATTGACATACTTCTTGGAGCCAGTGTGTGTGTGTGTGTGTTACTGGGGTTTGAACTCAAGGCCTCATGCTTACTAGGTAGGCACTCTACCACATTAGCCATGGTCCCAGCACTTTTTACTTTAATTATTTTTTAGATGAGGTCTCGTGTTTTTGCTCAGGCTAGCCCTGATAGTAATCCTCCCATTTATGATTCTTGCATACCTAAGGTGACAGGCACACACTACAGCATCCACCTTATTAACTGAAATGGGGTCTCACTAAATTTTTGCCCAGCTGTCTTCTAGCCTCAATCCTCCCAATCTCCCTAGTACAGATTACAGGTGTGAACCACTGCACCCAGCCTTCTCAGAGTCTTTAAAACATTGATATGCAACACAATTACCAAGAAGATGACCTAGTGTATAGCACGTGATACCAGGACCCCTTCTTCACAGGGAAATTCATAAGAATAGCATCATATAAAACAGGGGGTAAACCACTGCTGCCAAGACGAACTTCTAAACTTGACACACAGTGTACAGTAATTGTGATTGTTTCTCCGAATGCAAAGAACTTTGACTGCAAAAGACATAAACACTGCCAATTACCAACATATGTTAAAGACCTGGACTGCTTAATGTTAAATATTCACAATGGTTTGAAACCCAGGTATGTTGACTGTGTTGAATTTTACTTCACTTACCCGAGACCCCTTCTCAGGAAAGCACTGGCAAACAGAGCAATCTCTTCCTCCACAAGGACCAATATATTTCTTGCCACTCTGGAAAGTAAAGCAGCTCATTTAGTAAACCAGTCCTCAGCACTTAGCTGAGCACATAAAATATAGGTTACAGCAAGCACTCTTGGTTTGTCTAGCTCGGAGGAACTCCATGGAACACTTTTACCTCTGGATTCATGAGAAGCAAATACATATATATATATATATATATATATATATATATATATATACACATACATAGATATATGTATACATACATATATACACACATATATAAATGTAATTATATGATATATATGACATATTATAATATATATTACATTTTTTAAAGAGAGGCCCTCAAACTCATAAGCCTCCCGCCTCAGCCTTCTCAGTGCTGGGATTACAGATGTGGACCACCACACCTGACTGCAAAGACCAATACTGATATTAAAAAGGCAAGGCGCCTACACTGTGGCTTCATGACCGGGAGCACTGATTATATGAGCAAAAATCTTCTAACATTGAGGACACTAGGAAAAAATCTTTCCCTCTGAAGTTACTTCGGCCAGAATCACCTATAGTTTCTCTCTCCCAGAAAGAACTAATTTATTAAGTTGTCAGTTGTCTTAGAGTGTAAACCTAACCTGTTAGGCAAACCACTCGTGTACAACAGAATCTAGTTTAAATCATAAATTTGACTGTTCTTCCAAGCCCCCTTGCTGTGCCTCCCAGATCAGTGAGGCTAGGGTGTGTCTCCTTCATCCAGTCCTTCCTAGGACAATCCTCCAGCTGCAGTTTTGTGTTTCAGGTTAAAATTCTTCTTCCTTTGACTGCTGATACTCTAAGACACTTCTTCAAATGTGACCCTCAACCAGAAAGCTCCTGAACCTGAATAATTTGGGCCCTTTCCCCACTTTTAGCTGAGAGTCAATTTGCACACATACACAGACACACACGCATAATCACACACTCCTTTGGAAAGAACATCACCTTGTTCTAGCAAATCCTCATTATCTATATCCAGAGTCATTAGCAACTTCCATACAAAAGTGTAGCCCAAGACTAACTCTTTATAAGTAGATTCCCTAGGACGATGCACTGCATTCATTCACGGGCTAGGGCTATGGGTTGGGTGGGAGAGGTGGCTGACATCTGGTGATAAAAGCTGCTTTGGATGCTGGGCACCGAGGGCAGGAATGGGAATACCAAGAAGGAACAGAGATAAACTAGCTCATTATCTTGCCTGGTACAGTTCTCACTGAGGGTTTCTATAATTGATAGATCCTTTAACTTAAAGCTGTGAACTGCAGTCTTTAGACCTATGTGTAAAGAGAAAATATACAACAGCTAAGCCAATAGGTATAGTTCATAAGTATGTGTACTACATATGAATGTGTATGCACACATTAATACATATGTATGTATATGTACATGCATGTACATGTGTGTAGAGGAGTCTATCCAGCAAGATTTTTCAATCACACAATTCGGACTTCTTTTTTGGAGAAAAACATGCTCACACAACATTCAAAAGTAAGTATCTTTGAGCATTAAGAAAAAGATATCTTTACGCACAGAATTCTCATGGGTTGTTAAAGTTTCTAAGAATTGAAAACTTCACAAGAGCCTCACAGTTAGAAAATTTATACGAGGAAGGCACTGAAGGCCTCAGAAAGCTAAGCTTCTTGAGTTTTGAGTAACATTGATGTCTGTGAATGCAAAAGTTCAAAGTCCTGATAAAGTTAAACAAACTAAGTACCCAGGGCCAGGCTGGGACAGACTGCAAGCACTTAATGTAGCTGATCTGAACACTTGGGTTCACTCAAGGTTGGAATTCATTACTGTGCACACTGAAATATCAAAATAACCAAAGGAAAAAAGGAGCCTGTTGATTAGATGACTTGATAACAAAGCAGGTTATTTATTTATTTTCTTATTTTGCCAAGCATTACTGAGATGTTTGCAGCAAGATTACATCTCAAGGAAGGATCACTGTAAAAAAGACTTGCAGATTCTAATAAAGAAACATCTGATAAACCCCTTAGGCAGGTGAATCCATACAGGAAGAGTTTGCTCCTCAAAAAAAGAGTATACAACCCCATTGGAAAAGATAAAGTCAGCATCTCAGACAAATGAAGATTCAACCTATGAACCACTTTCACTTGGAATACACTTACACTCTGAAATACCAATGTCATTTTTCTTCAAAGGGAAAAACAAGGAAAGTCATTCTGCTTTTCTCAGGCACTTTAAAACAAATATTTGTTACATAGAAAGTTCAAGAAAAAGCCAGGTATGGTGGTACAGCTACTCAGGAGGCAGAGATAGGAGAATTGAAAATTTGAGGTCAGCCTGGGCAAAGTTAAGGAGACCCTATCTCAAAAAAAAATATATATATATATACACACAAAGGGGCCGAGGGTGTGGCTCAAGGGTGGAGCACCTGCCTTGTATGTAAGTTCCTGAGGTGACAAAGAAAAGCAAAGCTGTTCAAGAAGTAAGCTATCAATTTCTAGAAGATTAGCCATCTGTCCTGTATTTGTACCTCAATTTCAAGTCACACAGACACAAGGTCAAAAACTCAAATAGTGCAAAAGAGTGTAACAGGAAAAGAACTTTCCCCTTTCCATACTGGCTCTTATTTCCCTACCCCAAATGATCGCTCTTTATAAATTGATGTCTGGACATATTCACACCACAACACACACACACACACACACACACACACACACACACACGTACACACACGGTGATTAGGAAGCTGTGATGTTTTATTATGCAAATATATTTCTCAGTACTTGACTGCTTTGACATAATCATGACTTCAAAATCATTCTGAAGTAAATACATATGGAGCTGTCCAGTACAGGAAACACCATACCTTGCTAACCCCTCTCTATTGGTGAACATCAGGCTGCTCCCTTCTTTAGCTACTGCCTACCACCATGCAATTAATATTCTTGTGCATTCATCTCTGTGATACGGGATAAACATGTATGATCAATTCTAAAAAAAGGTGCATTCCTATGTCCAGAAGTATGTGCGTTTAAAATTCTGATGGACAATGCCAATGTGCCTGTCAAAGACACAGCCTCAATTCAAACCTCTTCCTTTAAAATCCAGTCATTGTAATAGTCATGCCCTATGTGAAGTCTCTAGAATTTCTATATTCCACAAGCTGGTGGGAGGGTCCAGGATGGAGCAGTCATTGGTTGAGGAATCATATTCCAGAATATGGTTAGAATTCAAGGAGCAAAGGAAGTGAAACTTAGGATTCTGTAGACTTATTATAATAGAACACAAAAGGCTGTAATACAAAAATGTACAGAAAAACCAGGTAAGATAAAAAGAAGAAAATGCACACACATCTGTCTCACTGTGTTTCTGCTCATTATTTTAGGCGATGCTCTCAAATGCATGTTAACTATATTGGGCATGTGTTGTTTTTCCCAGCTTACCTACCTAGGGAAACTGAGTCTTATGCAGTTTAAGGGATTAATCATTGGCAGAGCAAGAAGCAAGGGCTCCTCATTCCTTGGCCCAGATGCTTTCTGCTTCCAACTGGTAGGAAAAGGAGAGTGGAAGGAAATTTTCTATTTTTGTTTGCTTTGAAAAGACCTATAATGGCTTGAATCACTGACATCAAATTGGATGGATCCAAGCCAGTGCAGTGTTACAAGACCAATCCGAGTTACAGGCAGCCCATAATAAGATGTCTCAGGAACTTCTGAGGCTGGGCTTAATAACAGATTCTTTAGTGAGGAAGCAGAAGGAAGAGGCTTATTAAAAAATGTTCTAGACTTATCTTTCTCCAAAGTGAAAATGTTCAAATTTAATGTTATATTTCTTGATTTAATCTTGAAATGGTCAAGCTGTGTCTTGTCTTTTCTTTACTAATTTTTAAGAAAGGGTTTTATCATAAAGACATCTCAAATACCTAGGCAATACTGTAAGCAGTCTTGACCACGCATATTAAAGAAACCTTAAAGTTTATCTAATCCCAACCTCAGGGAGTGACTTCTTTCCATGTATAACAAAAATCATATGTGATAAAGTGAATCTCATCATGCAATCTGAGTAAATTAATTAATGTACTTACCTCACAGACATGTTGTACAGAAAAGAGAATAAGGATAAGTGACCTATAGGAAAACAATGATGAAGATTAATTCAAACTGTTTGTTTTCATGTGAAACAAACTTAAAAAAAGAAAAAGAGTAAAGGAATTGATTTCAGAAAGCTTTTAATTTATAATTGGCTACTATCACCAGCTGACTGTTCATCTGTGACAAGAAAGACTTTTACCTTTCTTCTTTTTAATTAATGAAGAATGATATACTAATGCCTTTAGTGTGATTCTCATTGTGTGGGGCCCATAGGGACACGGTAAAGGTGAGGCCTAGATGGACAGAGAGTGAAGGGAGTTGACTGTGTCACGGAAACTAGGGGGGGACAAATGTGCTCAAGACGCTGCTGAGAACAAGGTGTCTTGGGTGTCATTAAGTGGAAGCAGCTGTAAAGAGAGAGGATGAAAGGATGCCTAAACGGATTGGGAGAATGGGAAAAGGAAAATGATACAGGATCAGTAGGGAAGAGTTAGGTGTTCCAGGGACTTACCTGTGAGACAGAAATCCAACTAGGGTAACATCATTTGTTACAAGTCTCAACAGAGGAGGGATGCAATCCAAAAAGGCCACCAAACATCCACAAATGTTTGCTGGCACTTCTGTTTGTGGAAGACCTTCAACAAACATCATCTCGTCCTTGATAAGCTGTGTTGGGGTTGGATCTCCTGACTGTACCATCACCATGGTGGTAGGGGAATTAGGGAGAGCCTTTGAACTTGGTTCTGTGGAGAGCCTTTTCCTTGCTGGAACCCACATTCTAAGTGAGCCTTCTTTCTCCACCCCTCCTCTTGAGCTGACATCCTGAAAGTCCCTCTTGTCCTAGTTCTTTCACTGGAGTTCATTATAATTGCAATAATGCCAGGTGAACATTTTATTGTAGTAACTAAATAAATTAAGAAAAAAAATACAAAGGTGGAGTTACACACAGGGAATGAACTGCTTTATATCGAGTTGAACATGTCAGCTGCTGCTTGTTCAATGAGTTCTTGTCACTTGGGACTTTTGTAAATAGGATACATTGTTCTCATGGCCCTGACTGGTCTGGTTCATGTCAGGTCAGAAGAGATTACTACCCCTTCATCCTATCTCTGTTTGTCCTTCCCCCAAAAGTAGATATTTAAAAATAAGCTCAGTTTTTTTTTCTTTTTAGAAAACATTTATGATTAAGATTTCTTTGTAGTTTCCTCCATATGAATTCCATGTAAGACTTGATTGCATTTCTGAAACTTCAGACTCCTCTCACCACCACCCTCTCTCTTCATTCACTATCCATAAATATATGTTCCTCATTTTCAAAATTCTTACTTTTGCTATTTAATGGCCTTAGTTCCCAATACCTCTTTCAGTCACATCTAACAATCTCATATTTGCTTCCTATGGCTTCTGTAACACACTGCCACAAACTCAATGCCTTAAAGCAATATAGTTTTTACCTTACAGTTCAGGAGATAAGAAGTCCAACATGGGTCTCACTGGCAAAAATCACAAAGTTTTGGGACCATGTTTATGAACACAGAGCAGAGTCTGATTCCTTGCTTTTCCCAGGTTCTAGAGGCCACCCACATTCCCCATTTTGTGGTCTGTTCCATATTCAGAGCTAGTAAGGGCCAGTTGAGTCTTTCTCTTGCAGCTCTCCTTCGCTTTCACTTCTAAGAATCCTTGTGATTATACGAGACCCACCCAGGTGATTTGGGGTCACCCCATCTCAAGACTGGCTGATTGGAAACCTGACTTCCATCTGTACTTAAATCCCCCTTGCTATGTAACACAACATACTCACAGGTTTCAGAGACTAGAACGTGGACAATTTGGGGATGTCAACCTGTCTACCATATTCATGAAGTGCTTTGTCCTAACTCCACTGGTTATGGAACCTTGAGGCTCTGAGTATATAAAGCTTTTGCTATTCAACCCCAGTGAGTAACAGAGCAAGAATCCAGGGCCTTTACTTGTGCAGTTACCCATTTGATTGCTATGCGGGTGTGTCTCAGGGAGATAGGGAGTGTTGGTGTTTAATAACACTGAGCCAAAATGCCAAGCATTGTGTGAATGTCTGTGGTCCCAGCTACTCAGGAGGTGGAGAAAGGAGGATCATGATCCAAGGCTGGCCCGGGGAAAAAGCTTGGGAGCCTATCTGAAAACAACAAAAGGACTGGGAGCATGGCTCAAGTGGCAGAGCGTTTGCCTAGCAAGTGCAAAGCCCTGAGTGCTGCAAAATATTCCTAGCTTTCTGGAGAAATTTGACTTTTTGATATATGAGGCATTCAGGTAATTGATACCTATAGAGCCAATATTTAGGGGAAATCATTAAATAAAAGTGGGCACTCACACTGAGAACACTCACCAGGGATCTGTGACCAAGGGCTTGTTGGTCCACCTGACAGAGCACCTCATTAACACCACGTACACAGGTGACCTCACAGGTGTTCTTAGTTCTCAAAAATTCTGCCAGTCTTCTCTCCTCTCCTCTTCTCTCTTCTTCTCTTTTCTCTTCCTGAAGGCACTCGTTGACAGGTGTCAGCCCGTGTCCAGAGTTAAAGTCTGCAAGTGATAAATGCAAAATGTCTTTTAAACACAATACACTTATAATATTGAAAACAATTATTTTCATTATTCAGTTAGTAATGGAAATATTTTTTAAGTGGGGATCCCATTGTTTTTTTATATAACAATCTTCCCTAAGTGTTGTTAAACTGAAAATTACATTTTGTTCTTAGAAACAAAAATATTCTCAAATCCTTTATATGTCACAAATGTATTTTTAAATGGGAAGATTTCATATACATATAGGCATATATCCTACACAAAATAATTGCTTCATTATGTTGAGTTGAATTTTCTTCTCTTTCATCTTTTCCCTAAAAATACCAGTTAAAGTCGCTCAAGTGCTTTTTTTACTCTTTGAAGCTGGGGAACTTCTAATAGGGAATCATATATTTCATATTCATGCCAAAAACACATGTAAAAGTTTTTTATGTAAAATGGTACAACCGCCAAAACTGGCATGTCCTCAAAATGTTAAACATGGCGTTAACACAAGATCCAGCAATTCCCAGTATATTCTCCTGGGAATATACTAACTAGAATTGAAAACACATGTTCACAATATGCTTTTATATGAATATTCATAACAGACAAAAGTGGAAACAACCCAAATGTCCATTGACTGATGAATTCATAAGCAAACTGTGCTACATCCATACAATGGAATACTACTCAGTCATAAAAAAGAAATGGGGTAGTAATAATATGCTTGAAAATATTATGCTAAGTGAAAGAAACACATACTATACCATACCATATCAGTCTATGTGAATAAGATGTCCAAACAGGCAAATATATAGAAACATAAAGCAGATGGGTGGTTCTTGTGGATGGGGGGAGGGAGAAATTAGTAAGTAAAGGGTTTAGGTATGGTGGAAATGTTCTAGAATTAGTGATAACCACTAGTGTCACACAGCACTATGGATATACTTGGAACTATCAAATTATAAACTCTCAAAGAGTTTAAATGGTGAATTTTATGTTGTGAATTTTATCTCAGTAAAAAAGAAAAAGAGAGAGAGAGAGAAAATATTTTTAAACTTGACTCTTAACTTCGGTCAAAGATCTCTGGCTCAAAACCTTGAGATACTTCATTTTAAAAACTTTGGCTTCTCTGAAGACGTGTCCTAATGGGAACTGGTATAGACAAGGAAACCATGTTGCAAGCTTCTTTTAAATTTCTGGATAAAAGCTTAGGAAATTAACTCAGTGCTGTGGTTATGGGAGACCAGCTTTCCAAATAACTATGTTCCATGATGAATTTCAAAACCAAACAGAAAAAGAATCACTTCCAACACCTGGTTCTTTTCTGTCTAAATTCATAATTTAAATGTCTGTTTTACAGTTACATTCTAGAAGTATGTCTCAATAAGATGAATTATAGTTTTGGGAAGATAACACAAATTGTTTCGATTCATTCAAGTTGTACTCTTGGAAACTCCAAATTAATGAAAACCACTTATTTGCATTTTAATAAAAGATAGATACATAATGCAATTAATCTCCTCCCCTATCCATGCATGTTGTGTTTAGTGGGGTTTTGTTGTTTGTTTTGTTTTGGTGGTACTGGGTTTGAAAGCAGAGGTCTGTGTTTGCGAGGCAGGACATTTACCTCGTAAGTCACACCTCCAGCCCAAGCATGTGAAAAGGGCGCAGAGAGGGAGAATTTATTAAAAAGGGTATTGTCATGGTCAGCTTCTAGAGGAAGAAGGCCTGATTATAGTCCTAACATATGGAGTTTCTCATTTTAATTGGATGGATGGATGGATGGGTCAGTCAGCACAAACCCGACTGGTCTTCGTTAGCCAAAGAGAGCAAAGGGCCTTGCACTACCAAGAATGATACACACATCCTCACCACATGCACTTCGTTACCATATAAATTCTGTGACAACAGGAACTCTGTCCTTTTTTGATTGATGGATTTATTATGAGTGTCACTGTAGTGCCCATAATATTTCAAGTGTTCAATTTGTTGGATGAATTCATTTGCAGAAGACACTTTGGGACCTGAGGAATGGGAATTAAGTATATTCAAAAGGGAACCAATGACTATAGGAGACTATGAATATACATGATGGAGTAGAGGAAGGGAGAATGACAGAAAAAGACAGGAACTATAATGGCCTTGGCAGAAGCAAAGAGAAACTGACACTGCATTATTGCATCCTTCTTCAGAGTGTTGCCCAGGTTGAGTGACTTAACTCTCACCAAGATTTGGTTGGGAAAGTACTGTTTTCATTGCACAGGGAAAACAAAGTGGATCTATTCAAGTAACATGTGCAAAGCCACGGAGCTACTAGTGTGTATTCCTTCTCCCCACTGAGACTCCACCTTGGCAACTGTTGGGATTTCTCAGCTCTTATCCTCCCATTAGAATTTTGAAACTATGCACCCTGCCCTCTTGTTTTCCCTTAAGTTAGCATTTAAAAGCTTTCATCTTCTCTTGAAATAGTTGCAGGGTCTAGGGATGTAGGTCACTGGTAGAGTTCTTGCCTACCATGTACAAGGTCCTGGGTTCCATCCTCAGCACTGCAAAATTGAGTAAGTAGTAAATAAATAAATAGGTGCAGATCAGGTGACTTCTGGAATATAAGTGGTGACTTTTAGAATAATATAAAACTGCCACAGCAAGTAAAATGCTACACCCAAGCTCTTAAACAGGAATTTTACATTGCTCATTTTCATTTTAAAGTCATATTTTCATTCCATTACTCACATATATTTTAATGTAATATATTCTGTTCTTGACAGTCTTATATTGATCACTCTATTGTAGTCCTCTGCAACAAAAAATGTTTATAAATTAAATAGTTTTTATTTCCTGTGATCTTAAGTCTCTAAATCTTAAGGGTTTTATTCTACTACATTGGCTTTTCATTAGGATTATTAGTAGTATAGAATTTATCAAAAACATACATAAATTTGAAACTTGATAAAAAATTATTAAACATTAAATGTATAATTTTCCTAAAAGTATAGACATTTTCGTTTCTCAATTAGTTTAGTTTACCCTAGATTAATATTCCTTCTCGCTGTAATAAGTCAGTTTCAGCAATAATCCTATTTTCTTTTTTATTTCCAAAGCTATAGTTTCTAATAAATCTTATTCAACAAAAACAAGATGCCCCATCTTTTAATACCAACACATTTGGGGTTGAGGCTTCAACGTGGGAATTTGGGGTGGGGGACACAAATATCCATATTATAGTAGACAACTCAAGAGGACTTTGAAGATTGGAGTGAAATTTGTAAAACAATTTTTTTCAAAACTTCTTGTTTTGAAAAAACAAGAAGCCGAGCAGAAACCCCACTCACTGTTAGTCTGACACTGTTAACAGCAATGTACACCATGCCCTGCTAGTGGTCACTCATGTTAGCCACAACCATCTCTGAGGGGTACCTCTCTTGCAGCAACTTGCATTAAAAAGCATAAAAGTGTTTGCTTTGCCAGGTGCCTGTGGCTCAAGCCTGTAATCTTAGCTACTCAGGAGTCAGAGATCAGGAGGATCTTTGCTCAGCCAGCCTGAGCAAATAGTTTGTAAAACCCTATTTCGAAAATACCCATCACAAAAAAGGGCTGGTAAAGAGGCTCAAGGTGTAGGGCCTGAGTTCAAACCCCAGTACCACAAAAAAAAAAAGTTTGCTTCAACCAAGTTTTTGACTTCACACGAATACACACACACACACATTCAGAACAGCATCCCTTAACCTACCTTCTCACAAACGGCTGACCGAAGGCGCGAATGAGAGATAACAGTATGCTTCCATGTGAGTTGGCCACTGTTACAGAAAACATAACTCAAGCAACCTAAGTGGATGCATCTCCACTAAAGCATATGAAACAGCAGCTTTAAAAGACTGCCTGACAGGAAACGCCTTCAAAGTTCTGTGTTTTTCCAAGGACAACCTTTATTTTGCCAATTGTCATCTTTATGAAAGGCATTAGTCTTGTGCATTAGTCTACACCTTCATCCCTGCTGTGTGGAGGCATGGCCAGGTTTTTTATCACCTGACCCCATCTCCTCAACCACACAGAAAAAAAAATCAAGATAAGCCACTGAATCAAAGGCAACTCAACGCAGAGAGCAGAGCAGGGTGAGTGACAGAACTCTGATTCTGGGCTGGGAATGGCACAAAGAGAGAATCGGGATGGGTCCCATGGGAGAGCTGAAATTAGGACACCGTGAAGAGAGGGGAATTAGAAAGGAAGGACACAGACCCAGCAAGAGATGTCCCAAGGTAGAGTCTAGCATTAGAGGCCCAGGTGAAATATAAACCTGAGTTTAGAGGAAAAATGAAAGCTATTCTCAGAGAAGAAAATGAAGAAAGAGAAAGTGGTTCATGAGAAGATGAAAGATGCCTGAAGCTGCCCTTGTTCTTGTTGGAAAGTCTTTCAGGAAATTCTCCACCTGAGCAAACTAACCTGTGCAGCCCAGGTGGACAGAAAGCCCCATCCCCACCAAGGCTACTCCATACAACAGAGAGCTCACATCCTCCCCTGACCCTGTCCTTGTCCTCCTCTAAGAAGGAAGCTGAACATAGCACTCTGGACCTTTGACACACACCTGTTCACTGACCCCAGGAAAGTCCAAAAAGTTGTTCCCTGCAGCACACATGCATACATACATACGTGTGTATGTGTGTGTGTGCGTGTGAGAGAGAGAGAGAGAGAGAGAGAGAGAGAGAGAGATTGAGATTTCTGGCATATATTTTCAGCAAATATCATCTTGTTATCCTCTAACTCCCTGGGGTTGTTTTTGCCCTTCACTCCTTTATGAAGACTCCTGGACTCCAGTTCCCCTGGGTCTCCTTTTTCAAAGCTCAATGCTTCTCAAATGGTGGGTTTGGGAACAAGAT